CAGATATATTAACTTCTCTTTGTCACTAATCTTGACCAGGAATGTTGGAGAAAGGCATTTCTATCGGTGACCCTGCCACAGACTACAGTTTTAAAATTTTAGTAGCAATAGAAAATCAATTATCTAGTTTCCACCAACTAACTGATCAGAGCAGGATCAGTTTTGAGTGCGTCACATGATCAAAATGAAAGAATTTTAGAAATATATTATACTTTTAGTAAGATCAATCATGGTTAATATCACTGCAAATGATGAAAAATCTTAGGTACTGGACAGTAATGGATTACTATAATTTGTGCTTATATGTTTATCTCATTTTTAATGCATCCTGAAAGAAGTTGTAAGATTAGTAAGGTAAATGTAAAGGTTTCCCCTGTCAGTTGGATCTGACTCTAGAGGGCAGAGCTTATCTCCATTTCTTAGCAGAGGGAGCCAATGTTGTCTGAAGATACTTCGATAGTCAGCATGACTGTACGCCGAGGCATATGGAAAGCTCTTACCTTCCCACCGAAGTGGTATCTATTTATCTACTTGCATTTGAATGCTTTCAAACTGGTGGGCAGGAGCTGGGGCAAGTAACAGGAGCACACTCCATTGTGCAGCGCTCGGGTCTTGAACCCTGATAAGCTCAGCATCTTTAACCGCTGAGCCATCAATATTCCTAAAGCAAGAATATTATTCCCAGATACCACTCAACATCAGAAATATATAAAGCAGTGGTTCTCAATCTTTTTAATGCCGCGACCCCAACTGGTCGTAAGCCGAGGACTAAACCGGTCGTAAGTCGAGGACTAAACCGGTCGTAAGTCGAGGACTACCCAACCAGTCGTAAGTCGAGGACTTTCCCTGCCCGGGAGCGCCGCGCATGTGTGGTTCCGCCCCCTGCACCGGCCGAGGTGTAGCTGGCAAGCGGCATAGACGGAGCAGGCTGACCACCAGCTGGCCCAGCCCAAGGGAGGTAAGGCACCCGCCGGAAAAGGTTAAAAAAATGGCGGACAAAAAAAATGGCGGACAGCCTTGGCGACCCCCGTGAAATGGTTGATCGACCCCAAATGGGGTCCCGACCCACAGGTTGAGAACCACTGATATAAAGACTTACTTCTCCTTTTTAACTTGTCTGTGTGCTTCTTTAGTAAGCTGAGCAGCTTTTCTGCTGTAAGGATGGATGGCTTTCTTCTCCTGCTCTCGTCCTTTTGCTTTGGCAGCTTTTGGCTGAAACAATGAGTCAAAATAATAACAGCATTTAATAGAACTACTTCAACTACCCTCATCTGAAACATAACAAAAATAATCAGTTATTTAAGTTTCAAGCATCAGTCAACATCTACCATATTCATAACTATAGAAGATTGTTATAAGGATCTTATTTGTATATTTCTGTACTTCCTTTCAAAATAAAAAGAGGTTTTCTAAAAAAATTATGGAAATCAGTACTGTTCCTAAATTATTCTCAGACTCTATACCGATAATCAACTGATTTGCTATTCTTTCATTGTAAGCTCATAAAAAATATCATCAGTTTTTTACAGCTTTTGTATGTCTTTCTCAGCAACCTGGAGGTGAAGCATTTTAGTCACCAACTACAAAAAGAATGAAAGATGAATGCATTTTAATCATAGAACTCAAAAAGAATACTGAAGAAGTGATTAAAAATACACATAAGGAGAAATAATCAAATAGTTATAATATTTTCAATATATAATTTAGGCTGATAAAATTACACACTATGTAGAAAAATCTGTGATATTTTCTCTCTGTTTAAAATTACAGTAGTGTGATGGCTCAGCGGTTAAGACACTGGGCTTGTCAGCTGGAAAGCCCAGGTTTGAGATCTGAGAGTTGTGTGGCAGGATGAGTGCCTGTCTTCACTTAGCTCCTGCCCATCTAGCAATTTGAAAGCATGCAAATGTGAGTAGATAAATAGGTACCACTTCGCCAATAGGGAAGGAATGTGATGTCATGCTGGCCATATGACCATGAAAACATCTTCAGACAGCATTGGCTCATGGCCTCAAAACAGATTTGAGCACCACTCTCTATTGACGGCAACGACTAGTGGAGTTAAATCCACAGTTACTTCTTTCCTTTCTTTAATATTACAAGGAGTTGTTTAGTCAATATACAAAGCAGTTGAGCTAGACTTATACGAACAGAGAAAAAATAGTTTCATGAAGGCAATTCTTGTCCTGGGCAGGATCTTTTTTCTCATGTTTCTTTTCAATGGACAACTAATGGATGAAAAATGTTCAATTTCACCAATATACTAGTAACACAATCAATTGTTGGATGGAGTTAATCAAGAAATTCAGGAAAGGATGAAATGAAATGCCAAGTCTTGTAAGCCAGGAAATATAAAAACTGTAGCAAATCTCACCCTTTTCAAATTTGAAACTTTGAACTGATTTCTAATACTCTACAATTCCACTATGAATTTCTAGTTTCGTGTTCAACTACCACAATGATCTCAATTCATATTTGACATACATTTTAACCCTTTTATTAATGAATAAACCTATAAATTTAACCCTTTAAAACTATACATCAATTGTACAAAACTGTCTTCATACAGATGTATTATACCATTTCAGTTTCTCTTAGATCCACAGATATGTAAAAGATCTGGGTTTTTTTAAAAAAATCCATGATCATTATCATTTATTTCTCTTATACTCCAAACTGCAATTTCCATACTCTCTGTCAACAATTGGTTAGGGTTAGGGTTAAAATTTGAGAAGTACAGTCAACTTTATGACAGGCAAACTGTGTGCAGATCATTTTTTGTCTTCAATAGGTTATTGAAAATTGAAATTGTATGCATAAAGATATCCATACAATTATCATTTAGAGAACATTAAGCAAATAGGATTGAGTTATATGAATAGGCACAAACCTGGATTGAAATGTGGCTGCCAAATTCAGTAAGAGCTCTACGTGATGGAAATTTTATGTATGAGCTCTATATAATATTTCATATATGAGAACAGCTGAGAATGTTTAGGAATTAGTTCAACATAAACCAGAAACTAAGGCAAAAAATGTGCAATGTCCCTTTGGTCGATCTATGTTTACGTAATACTTTAAAGGTAGAAATTATAAATAAATAATCAGAAAGTTTTTCAGACATTGTCTGATTGATTGTACCTTGGCATTTTGACTGCTATACTGCTATAGTTCTGGCTCAAAATAGCTATTCTAGTCTCCCACTTAATTCTTTAACTCTTTGTCAGCAAAAAAAAGAAATTTAAATAAATAATCATATATATATTTTTCCATGCCCTACTGCAATCACCCAGATAGTCCAGGTACACTCATTTCTATATAACTGCCTTTTCAGATCAGCATTTGAGTGCTATAGACATCAGCAGAGAGTACATCCTACAAATGACACAATTTACATATTTGTGTCACATGCCGGGACACAAGTAATAATCATGACTTTATATTAGAGGTCCCCAACCTTTTGGGCACCAGGGACCGGTTCCACGGAGAGGTTTTTCTGCAGACCAGAGGGTGCATGGTTTTGTGTGCTGCCTGCATCACATGGATGGGGCTTTGCTTGTTTGTGTGGACCGGTTGCTGGCATGCTGTGGCCCGGTACCAGTCCATGGACCGGGGTTGGGGACCTCTGCTTTATATGATATCACCATACACACCATATACACTGTCATCAGCTTACTGATGAAAAAATGCTCCAAACTGATCATGATCTTGCTGTGTAGTTTTATGTAATCATTAAATATCAAGGGATTAAAAAAAAATAGCACTCCACAAGGAAACAACTGCATGGCTGACTTTTGTATCCCCTATCTCCTCCCCAAATGTGGAGCTGCCTACTAAGGATAGGCCAGAACCTAATTCTCTAATTCTCAACTCTTGAGCATCTAGCCAACCTTCACTAATGTAGAAAAAACTAAGAGGGAACCAGTCTGGTTAGTATTTGGAAGAGAGGCCACCAAGAAATTTAAGGGCTAGGTTTTTTTAAAAAAAAAATGTGAAAGTTAACTAAAGCAAATTACTTATGTTTTATTACAAGAAAATTACAAGGATATGTCCCTGTACTCATCAGATGCTGAAATGAAGGGAATTTTGCCGTATAATTGTTAAATGAACTACATGCTCTAATAGACAGCTTAAAACCATTTATATAAATAAAATTATTAATAACATTAAGTAAACCAAACACAATTTTAACCTAAAGAAAAGTTTGTATAATATAGCATAATAGATCTTAATTGTTCAGATTTTTAAAAGTTGAAAGAAAATATCCAACGATACATTTGAAAGTTTATGGAAAATATCTGTTACTAAAAAGGATTTCCCCGATCCAAAAAAATGAAACCTCCATGTCTTATACACCTGTCAGATTTCCCTGATTGCAATCCATTAAAAGAGATACTGTAAGTTTTACTCTGCCTAGTTTATATAGAACGCAATTCTAAATGCTTTGTAGCAACACTGTAAAAATGTAGTAGGAAAACATAATCTTCAAAGTTAGATGCGCAGCAAACAAATCTAATAATAATCTCAATGGAAAAGTCAATTAATTTAGTGTTAATAATCTTAGTGGATTAATAAAAAGAACACTTAGCACAAAATTTCCCTATCATGTGCAAGCAGTCTTTTGCCAGAGCTATGATTAAACTAACTTATCAAATAAATGCAGTGATGTTGTATGAAGTTTCAACTTGGAAGTAGAATTAAGGAGTTTCATTGCAACCTCTGTTTACTCTGAAATAAGAGTAATTTAATTCTTGTCAAGCGTAAGATCTTGTTCACCACCAATGCATACACAAACACAGTGTTTGAAATATGTTAAAAAGCAAAGCAAATATATTTCGGCATAAAGTTGGTGGTTGCTTAAAATGCCATCGAAACTTTAAGGTATCTGAAATAAATGACCATGCTTTTCAGCTCCACTGGAAAAAAAATAACCCACCCACCAACATTAAACAATCTAAGGCTCTAAATTAGAGAGATTCTTGTCGGCTTTTCGCGCCGAATCCCGCATGCACACTACAGCTCACCATATTCACGAAGCGAGAAGCAGACGCGTGTCCTTAAAGAAGGCAACAGTATCAATCTGCTTTTCTGAACCCGGGCGAATAGGACCGAGTCCCACACTTTAACCCTCTCGGCTGGATCGACGGTCACCCAGCTGCTTAGTTCCGTTCCGTTCAAATAGGACTCCGCATCTTATTAAATCGAGTTTAGTAATACGTTGGATCAATTCCTCTTCCTAACTCAGAGGTGAGCGTTTACGGGGCGTAAAGAAATCACTTCTACAAACCCTGCTAGATTAACATAAGTTTGAGGATGTCGATGTTTAGCTGTGTATCGCTAATTCCTTCCGCTGAAGAAGTGTAGAAATCGCGGATGCCTCCCCAGCAAGTCTATTTAGCAAATGAGCAAAATGACTCTTTAGGAAAAAAGAATCAATTGGTACGGACACTGAAATGAATGGCACGTAGGGCTAAACGTAGACACATAATGATAGACATCCCATTGCCCTCGACAATAATTTGAACATTAAATTAAACTTAACATTAACACACTTCTGATGTCACATGCAGTGTTAACACCCATTTGTTTTAAGGGTACAGTTTTACTGAAAGTAAAGGATAATAGAAAGGAATATATAGAACAATAGAAATAGAACACTCTATAACTCATGTATGCATGATAGCAGGAGACTGTCCGAATTACAGCATCTATGTTTAAAAGCAGAAATTACAATAATAAAAAATAGGCTGGACGTATTTTTTTTTCAAGACTTGCTACCTTTCTCTTTCGATGACTATATTCTTTATTATTTGTTAGATTTACCTTTCTTCAGGAGCTCAAAGGGGCTTACATGGGAATTTTTCTTCATTTTCATCCCCAGAACAATTGTGAGGTGAGAAAGAATGATTGTAAGTGGAATTGAACCTCATTCCCCAGACCTACTCAAGTACCTCAGTGATTACATCATGACAACTGTTGACTGTAAACAAAGGGAGGGTGAATTCTGGCAGCAATCCAACTTTACATCAGCAAGCCATGTCACTTGCATACACAGTGCAAGACCATGTTGCTGCTTATTCTAGAGAAGACAGCCATTATTTTTCCTGGCAGAATGGGACCAAATTCTGAAAGAGATCCAGCTTTGGGTACACACGCTGGTATATACTGGTTCACTGTCAGAACTTTCAGTCTGCCTGAATAAACTGGCTGCTGGTTTTTAAAGCAAAATCTGAAACTAGGATTTCAACTTTGAATGATCAGGCCTCCTGGAATATGGGTGGGGGCAACAGAAAGTTTTGGCGGTCAAGGTACCCACAAAGTTTGCAAACCCCAGCTCTAGCCAGTTAGCTCCCAAAGAAAATGGGAAGTTAAATTCATTAGCCACTGTTGGAAGTCAGCACCCACCCATCATCCTAAAGAAGGAAATATTTTTTAAAAAAGGCAGAATATTATATTTCCCCAAAGGAATAATGGAGAAAAAACTTAGGCGGAAACCAACCCCCAGTCTCCTTCCCCCAAGCAGGCCAGCTTTTAGAAATGCAGATTTGGGGCCACCTATTCATCAGTAAAATGCCTTCATCCACAGCCCCAGAGAAAGTTTGAGTTGATGGGATTAGAAAAACAAAGACTTCAAGAACAGGAACATGACCTTTAGGACATAATAGGAGTAACCCACCCCATTAGAATACCAAAAGCTCAAGCTCAGGTCAAAGTACATTGCACAGGAAAAGGAATAACTCCAAATACAAAGCCCAAGAAGGTATAAAAACCCACCACTCTCAGTTCCATTTTGTCAGTCACCCCAGCAACATGCTGTGTCACTGAAGTTTCTGGCAACCAGATAAACAAGAACCTTCTTTCAAACAGCCTTCATTTTATTTATTCCCAGCTTGGATTGGACCTGATGAAGATTTTTCTATCAACATCACTATGAGGAATATTCCCAATTATCTCACTGTACATGTGCAGCACAGATAACACTTCTACAAGGATCTGTAGAAAAGTGGACAGACTACCGGGGACAGCTTTCAAAAGAAATGGCTACTTAAATGTTTCAAGGAAAGCTGCTATGCACACTTTGAAAAAATGTTTTGTACAATCCTACCGGTAGACATTAGTGGGCATTGCAGGTATTAGAATATGTCTAGTCTTCTGAACTAAATATATATATATATATATATAGCTATAAAATATGACTATCCTGATTGGTGCTTCATTTAAAATCAAGAGTTTTGAAAAACGTATTTTCTAAAGGGCATGATGGAAATGTAGAGAATGACGAATAGATTTCATGACTTCAACTGGAAATTGCTTTTGATTTAGTCATGATTACAATAAGTATAGTACCAATCATGCAACTCTGGCTGAGTTATAGAAGAATACATTTGCAATATTTATTTCAAAATTCCTTAGACTAACTTCACTTCATGCCAGTAGAGTTCAGTTTTGTTCTTTTTTTTTTTTTAAAGCATGCTGGAATTAGAGCTAATGTCAGCTTTAATGCTTGCTTGGAATACCAAAGGCTCTACTCTATAATAGCACTGTGTCACTTTGGAATAAGCTGTGGATCTCTCACAAAAGTTTAGACATTGAGTTTTTTGAAACTGGGATAGGTACAGTAAGCTTCTTGGGGTATATTCAAATGAGATTCAACCATTGATTTCATGTCTTTTGAAATATTTCTAGCTTTCAGTAAAGCTCATCATCTAGATTTTGTTTTGTTTTTTGTACAGTCACTTCAATGAAGTTCCAGTGCTGCCAACAACTTTTTGTTGATTGTTTTTCTTAAAGAACTTTTGAAAAAAAGTATGTGGATTTTTCATATTCTGTTTTGTTTATGTTCCCTACAATTGTTCCTGTACTACTGCTCCTGTTCTACACCAGTTGCTGTTCAGAGCCATGAAAAACTCTACCTGTTCTGGTGTAACCTGTATGCCTATATACTTAGTAGTTATCTCGTTGTTGTTGTTGTTGTTAGTTGCAAAGTCATGTCCAACCCATTGCGACCGCATGGACAAAGTAGTTACCTACTCATGTCCATTGAAGATTGTCATTTCAGGTATTGCTCCATAAAGCCAGAAGGCGTCCATCTTCTGCTTTACTCTGAAGTTTTCACTCACTAGAGAACATTGGATGCCTACCTGTTCAGAAAAGACCCCAATTCTTTTTTTTTCCTCCTTTCATATTTATGGGTTTTAAAAAATTTGGACATAGCTGCCCATTGTTTTATTCTGCATCTATCTCAACACTCCTTATGGAAATATGGGAATTCTCTAACATTAATAGTGGAACAACACTTCCCGCCCTCTACCTCCCACCCCAGTCCCTCTTTCCTGGAATGCACATTATTTATTTGTTCCAGCTCCCTAATTTTTTCTTGGATTCCTCTATAGAATCATTAACAGGGTACAGATGGCAATCCAAAACTTTAAGGTGCCATCTGCTAAACTGAGAGTAGAGACACATGTGTCACCAAGTGTAATTGTTGGATTCTGAGGCACAGAAACTGTAGCATCCATAATGTTCTTTTTCTTTTCTTTTTTTTTGCTTCTTGCATTCTTTTATATTTTTCTTATTTTTCTTTTGTTCAAGTGAAAATTCTCAATAAAAATATTTTTATTCAGGCCAGTGGATAATGCTATATAAGAAGACTAGATTGCTTTTTTAACTATATATCAGATCTTAATACATTGGTTATTTTCTTGAAGTTAGAGTTTAGAAAATAAGTTACAGTGACAGAGAGGTACGTTTTAGAAAAAGAAATCAAACCTTTTGGCAGCTGCAAATTGCCAAACTGCAATTACTTCTTTATTGCTTCTTTATTTGCTTGTTGGTGTCCATAACTATATTTGTACATAGTTAGTTATACAGTACTTCCTTCTCTTATCCTTGGCGCAAGCAATGAGCACTCTGATTTTATGCTACTTTAAAGAAAGCCAGGAGCTTTCAGTAGGAAAAATTCTTAAAAGCTACTGTGTGTATGTATACACAAATCATGTGTGTGCATACATTGAATAAAATGATATGGTGTAAATATTCCATCATCTCTGCACATCAATGTGTACATTTCATAATTAATTCATGTGGATGTATGGTTAGTGGATTATTAGGCTTTGTATGTTGTATCATGGCACTGCTATATAATCACATTTCTATTTGTATTGTTTTGCTTTCTGCTTGGCTACAATCCTGGCATAATGGGATAGGATGAAACTGCAGCTCCTGCAACCTAGCAATTGAAAAGCATGCAAATGTGGTTAGATAAATAAGCGGGAATGTTACCGGGTTCCCTATTTTCATGCTGGCCACATGATGACGTAAACATCTCTCAGACAACGCAGACTCCCTTGGCTGAGATATGAGCACTTCCCCCTTGAGTCGGTCATGATTGAACAGGGGAAACCTTTAGCCAGCACTGAAATGGCTCACCTTCTATTTCATTATGTGCTGATTTTGGTACTGTTTGGATAATATGAATAGCTAGTCCCTGCTTTGTTTTGGTTCGCAGTTACAAAACATACACAAACACAAACACATAGTATGTATGTACATATGTATGTATGTGTGTATAAAATTTCCTTCTTACCTTTATGGATGGTCTGTGTCTTCCTTAATCCAGGGTCTTCTCTGAGTGGTCTGAGAGTTTGAGGCTTCTACACAGCATCTTAGCTGCTTCTAGCACTGCACTCTTTAGACAGAGAGCTCTGATGTTGTTCCTGGGATATATTAGAGCCACTCCCCCAGTTTAGGAATTACAGCCTCAATTGCTCCTTTTTTTAATAAAAGTTTTATTATTATTTTTAAAAATTACAGTCTTTAGTGCTTAGTAAACAACCTGTTGACTGACTTCAAATATTTAACATTAACGTTTTCAATATAAATCTGTTCAATACTACACAATCTAGTATTTTTTCCCTGACCCTCCTTTCTTCTCCATATTTTTTCCATTTTCCCTTCATTACACCATTACAGATTTTGGTACTGTTAATGTATACAAAGTTAGATATAAGCATCTTCATCATATTTTATTAATATCATACAAATAATAATATCAATTCATAAGTCAATAATGTCAATTCATTAATTAATATCTTGTTTTTCGTACT